CCCCTGCCTCCTCGCCTCGCTCCCCCGACGCTTTCCCTGCCGTGCCGGTCCTGGGTTTGCAGCCGACCCCCTCCGTCCCGGCCTCCCCTACGGCTGGGGCCCAGGTCATGGCGTGCCCTTACCTGACCACCCTCTCGACGGCGCCCCAGGCCGACTCGCCCCGCCGCTCCAGCTCGCCCTCCCCGACGCTGGTCCCCGAGGACCCCCCACCACCCCCGGCAGCCGCTCCCACACCGTCTCCGCTGCCGGCGGTAACCGTGGCTCCTCCCGCCTCTGATCCCATACCGCCAGCTTCAGCACCATCCCCCCTGCGCCTCGACTGCACCCAGCCAGCACTACTCCTCGCGGCTGCGGCTGACCCCGACGGGGAGGGTGGGACTCGGGTGACCACCCCGGTGGCTTCCCAGCCCCCTCCCCCACGGTCCGCGGCCTACTCCCGCCGTGGTCGATCCTCCTCAACCCCGGTGTCGGCCTCGCGATGGAGTGACCGGCTTGTGGCCGCCCGGCCGGACGGTAGCCCAGCTCTGACCATCCCCGAGCGGGCGGAGCTCCGTGCCGTTGCCCGGAACCTGGAGCCAGGTACGCCTGCCGTCCCCCTCTGCTTCTACTTGCTCATTTTCTGCGCTCGAAGCGGTCCCACTTGGTCACCTTGCAAAGGTTGCGTCAGACTCCGCGATCGTTTTCAGGGGGGAAGCCGCTCCCCCCTTAGTGCAGATTGCGGCCATCCAGGCTCGCGAGATTCTTGATGGAAAATTGGCGGAGGCCGGCCAGGCCCTCCTCGCCCCCTCCATCCCCCCGGCTCCTTCTCCGGCGGCTGCACAGGCACAACCCCGTAGGGCTGCTGCCACCTCCCCCCGCTGGTGGCAGCCAAGCCTCGTGGCCGCACCCGCTCTCGCACTGCCGCTCTTCGCGCCCAAAGCGCTTCCCGCGTCTTGGGGCCAAGCAGCCCCCCAATGGCTCCTTAATGCGTGCCTTATTCTGGAACATCCGCGGGTTCGACCATGATGGCCGACGCTGCCAACTCATCGAGTACTTGCGCGATGAGCATATTGACATAGTGACGATCCAGGAAACCATGCGCTCTGACTTCTCCCTGTCGGAGCTTGATAGGCTGAATTCCCAGCTCTTTGCGTGACACTAGATCCCTTCTAGTGGGAATGCCGGCCATTCGGGTGGCATCCTTCTAGGTGTGAAGGATGCCACCTTCGAGGTGGGAAGTATGGACCAGGGCCAGTTCTTTGTTAGTATGGAGCTCTATGAACGGGCCCTAAATTTCAAATGGGAGGTTATCATCGTCTATGGCCCGGCTGACCACAGCAGATCTGCGTCCTTCCTCGAGGAGCTTAACCGGAAGGTCTCTGGCTCTCTGTGGCCTCCTTGCCCGTGGTTGTCGAGGGCGATTTTAACCTCCTCCGCTTCGCGGAAGACAAGAGCAATGATCACGTCAACTTTGCACGTATGCAAATGTTTAATGACTGCATTGCCAATCTTGGTCTTCGCGAGATTGACAGGATCGGTGCCAGGTTCACCTGGACCAATCGTCAAGCCTCCCCGACCCAATCCGTCCTGGACCGGGTCTTAGTTTCCCGGGAATGGGACCTCCGCTGCCCTCTGGCTTCCCTCTGGGCCATCACTCGGATCGGCTCCGACCACGTTCCTCTTCTCTTGTCCTCCTCCGACGAGCGACCCCCGATCCCTCCATGATTTCAGTTTGAGACATTCTGGCTGTCCCAAATTGGATTCGTGGAGGCTGTTGGGGCCCGCTGGGTGGAGACCCGGTCTCTCCCCCACCCCGCCCCCTCGGCTATTGACTCTTGGCATCTCTGTGCCAAACGCGGCCGGCAGTTCATGAAGGGGTGGGTGCCAACCTGGGTTGCGACCTCCGCGAGCGGAAAAATGCCTTGCTGACCGCCATTCAGGCTCTCGACCTCCGGGCTGACACGGTCGTCCTCTCCCCTGATGAGTGGCTCTCCTGGTATGACCTGGAGGACCAACTCTCCTTCATATACACGGACGAGGAGGCTTACTGGCGCTTGCGGGGGTCCCAGAAATGGGTCCTGAAGGGCGACGTGAACACAACCTACTTTCAAGCCATCGTGAATGGGTGTCGTAGACGCAACACCATCCCTCTCCTCTGGGACGGCCCGACCCTTCTACAGTCCCCGAGAGACATTAGGGCCCATGCGACGGGTTCTACCGATCCCTATTCTCCTCATCTCCTAGGAGCGGTCTCTCTCTGGCCCACGATTGCTGGTCTGGCCGCCAGCTTGTTTCCGCTGTGGAGAATGCGGCTCTCACGGCCCCATTTTCCAAGGATGAGGTCTGGACGACCATTAGAGGCATGAACCCCTCCTTGGCCCCGGGTCCGGATGGCCTTCCGGTTAAATTCTTCCAGACCTTCTGGAATGTGATTAAGTCTGAAATCATGGCCATCTTTGACGAGTTTTACGTTGGGAACATCGACCTCGGTCTCCTCAACTATGGGATCATTTTGCTCAGTCCCAAAGTGCCGGGGGCCTCCGACATTTACCAGTTTTGTCCGATCACGGTGATCAATGTGATCTTCCGGATTCTGGCGAAAGGGTACGCCAATAGGGTGACCCTGCTAGCTGACCTCATTACCCACCCCAACCAGTCCGCCTTCGTGCGAGGGCGGTATATCTTGGATGGGGTGCTAGTTCTCCATGAAGTCCTCCACGAGGTCCGGTCTAAACACCTCAAGGCGGTCTTCCTGAAAATCGACTTTCATAAGGCCTACGACAATGTTAGTTGGTCCTTCCTTCGGGAAGTTTTGCTCCGGAAGGGCTTCGATGATCGATGGATCACCCGGGTGATGCAAAATGGTGTCCTGCGGTCGTACCGCCATGAACATCAATGGGGAGATTGGCCCCTACTTCCCCACCCCGTGTGGGGTTAGAAAAGGCGATCCTTTCTCTCCGTTCTTGTTCAATATGGTAGTGGACGCGCTTGCCGCCATCCAAGATAAGGCCAAGGCCACGGGCCATATTCGTGGGATCACCCCTCATCTGGCCGACGGCTCCGGGATCTCCATGCTCCAATACACCGACGATACCATCATCATGGTTGAAGGCTCGGACACGGCCATCGCTAACCTCAAGTTCCTCCTTCTATGCTTCCAACAAATGTCTGGCCTCAAGATCAACTTCGACAAGAGTGATTTGATGGTAATGGGCTATTCTCCAGCAAAAGCCCTCGACATCGCCAAACGCGTCAACTGCCGCTTCGGCTCCTTCCCCACGACGTACTTGGGAACCCCCATCTGTGACTCTCGGCTTACCGTTACGGACTTGCGCCCCACGGTAACCAAGTTGCAAACACGCATGGAGCCTTGGCAGGGTAGGTGGCCGTTGAAGGCGGCTCGGACGATCCTCATTAACT